TTCAAGTGCAGACCAAGGTCTTTAGGCACTGCACCCAGTGTGCCAATTACCACTGGGACCACCTTGACTGAGTTGTGCCAGAGTCTTTGCAGTTCCATCTTTAAATCCTCGTATCATGCCAGATGATGATGATGATGATGATGATTGTCTAGATGTCTGCAGAGGTCATCTACCAAGGCGACCAAAGCTGTCTCTGTTCCATAGCCAGGCCTGAAAACAGACTGAAACAGATCTAGATAATCCTTTTCATCCAGAAATTCCTGGAAGTCTTTTGTCTTCTCTGCTGAACAATCCAAGTACCTCACCAAACTACTATTTATTTTATTATTTATTTATTTAAAACTTTTATATCCTGATCTTCTCTTCCTCCGTAGAGGGACTCAGACTGGCTGACAGCAAAAATTCAATGCTAACACTAAAATCTAAAATATCATACATCAACATTAAAATTAACCAATACATATAGGATAAATTACATAACAGCCATTCGCCAAGATAAACTCATGTCAACTCAGTCCGTATATTCAGTCCATATATTGTGGTCAGTAACTTTGGTCAGTTGCCGGTCTCAGACATCATTCCCCCAAAGCTGCATTCCACAGCCAAGTTTTCACTAGCTTCCTAAAGGTCAGTAGGGAGGGGGCAGATCTAATTTCATTCGGGAGGGAATTCCCTAGCCGAGGAGCCACCACAGAAAAGGCCCTGTCTCTCGTTCCCACCAGACACACCTGCAAAGGTGGCAGGGCCGAGAGCAGGGCCTCTCCAGATGATCTTAATACTCTTGGTGGTTCATAGGGGAGAATACGTTCGGACAGGTAAACTGAGCCGGAACCGTATAGGGTTTTGTAGGTTAAAACCAGCACTTTGAATTGTGCTCAGAAGCTAATTGGTGCTACTCCCATGATTATTAGTATTACGTCATGGCAGTTAAAGTGGCATCAAACTGCATCAATTCTACAGTGTAGATGCACCCCTAGAGTAGTGGTCTAAGACAGTAGGGACCAAAAGTTGAATCTCTAAACTGTGGAGTCCACCAGTTAACAATGGACCGGTCACTTTCTCCCAGCCTTACCTCCCTCCCGAGATGGTTGTGATGATAAAATAGCGTGATCATGTGTCACTTTAGACTCTTTGGGGGAGATTTAAGTATAAAAATAAACACATACCATAAGACAGGATCCTAGATGTCTGTCAGAACCCACTCACAGGTTTCTCCCTAGAAACTATTCCCAAGATCATATGGATAAGACCATTCTCTTGTCGAACACGTCAAAACTTTTCCATAGGCGTAGGTGGCTTTCAGGGCTGCTTTGAACACTTATCCTTTTCAGCACGAAAAGCAGTGGCAGAAGAAGTGTTGTGGGAGGCGAATGTACGTTAAGCCCAAGAAGAATGGGCCTGTCACTCCTGAATGCCATGTGAATCTGGAAAGCATTCGTCAAGTTAATACAGACTAAGGTCTGTAGGAGTCTACCTTCGCAATGTGCATAAGAGGGCATAGGGTTACCTTACAGTGAGGGAAGTATATTGTTAGATGCCTAAGAAGGATGCATGACATCTTTCTATAGCCCTGACTACGTACACAGCCATACAATGCAGGCTGCACAATTCTCATTCTGGGTCTAGACCAGGCATGGACAAACTTTGGCCCTTTAGGTGTTTGGGACTCCAACTCCCATCATTCCGAACAGCCTCAGGCCCTTTCCTTTCCCCCCTCAGCCGCTTAAGCGGCTGAGGGGGGAAAGGAAGGGGCCTGAGGCTGTTTGGAATGGTGGGAGTTGGAGTCCCAAACAAATGGAGGGCCCAAGTTGGTCCAGGCCTGCTATGGAGGTTTCTAATCAGATGGCCATCTGTCGGGAGTGCTTTGGTGGTGTGCTCCCGCACGGCAATCTCCCAATCAGTTTGCCCATGCCTGGTCTAGAAATCAGACAAGTGTTAAAAGAGGGGTATATAGTGTTGGCGTGTTAAAACAGGGACATGCAGTGTTGACGTGCACACAATGTGTTTGTGTAAGGTGTGTAATATATATGTGTCTGCACATATACCCATGCATAGATGAAAGGTTTATATTATGGGTGTGGAGTGTTGTGTTCTGTGAGAATTTAGGCACGAGGTGTTGCGTTTACACCTTAATTAAGTACACAGACAGGTTGACAGCGTATTTACATACTACAAATTAAATAAAAATTGTTTCTACTTAACTACTAGATGAAAGGGGAGATCTGACTTTGAATTGAGAGCCAGCGCGGTGCAGTAGTTCGAGCGTTGGACTACATTTGTGGAGTTTGCTTATTGGGCAAGTCACATACTCTCAGCCTCTAAAATGCTCATGATAGGGTTGCCATAAGTCAGAAACGAGTGAAAGGCACACAACAACAATTGTGCGTTGTGCCCTAGAAGGTATGCCCAGCATTATTTGTTTACAATGTTCATTCAATGTTTTTTTCTGCCAATAATAATAACAATAACAATAATAATAAACTTTATTTATACCCTGCCATCATCTCCCCAAGGGGACTCGGGGCGGCTTACATGGGGCCAAGCTCAGCAATACAATAAACAAGATACAACAGAACACAGCAAAATAAAATAAAATAAAAGACTGCAACTTAATTGTTGGCAAAAGCTTTCATGGCTGGAATCACTGGGTTGCTGTGAGTATTCCAGGCTGCATGGCCATGTTTCAGAAGCATTACTTCCTTTTTGGGGCGTGTAAAAATCAGTTGGTGAGTGTGTTAACTGCAAAATGCAAAGCACGAAGCTAATTGGTTAGGCTACGCCCAAGAAGGTAGCTGAGCCTGGTAGTTTTGGCAACAGTTACATTTTTAGGTTATCTGTGCAGGATCTTTCCAAGACAGTTTGTATTGTCTGCTTCTGGGCTACTGGAAGAAGATCCTTCACATGGATACCTAAGGACCATTTTGAATCTCTCTCAAAGGACATTGTGTGAGTCAATGCAACAGTTCACATGACTGTATACAGGGCCGTAGCCAGAAAAAAATTCAGGGAGGGTTGAAAATGGGGGGGGGGGGGTTGAAAATTTGGGGGGGGGGTTGAAACCTGCCTCCTAGCTCACGCTGAAGCAAAGAGCACAGCAGGGGGCAGAGCAGCCTTCAATAGCCTGCAGCTCCGCCCCTGTCAACCACCTCCACCAAGTCTGGCCTCCTTAATGAGAGCATTCAACACCCCCCCCCCACAACTTGGTTGCTTCGCTACATCGGCTATTGCTGCAAGTAATGACAGTGTGAATAAATTGTCAATATTTGCTTGAGATAGTGCTTGCAGTTCTGGAGGGACTCTTAATTTTTTGCGTTCTCATAGACTTAGCATGGGGATTTGGTTAACCAGTTAAAATTCATGAGTAAACCAGGTTTATTTTTTTAAACCTGAAAAATTTCAGGGGGGGGTTGAACCCCTAACCCCCCCCCCCCCCCGCTTACAGCCTGACGTATATATGTGCTCTGCATAACAAAGAGTAAATACCTTATTATTTACTGATCATCTGTGTGGCACATCTTTTCTCTAGCAAGACAGTGTGTGGATTGGTAAAGATGTGAACTATGCATGATTTTCATTCCGCAACACTCCTGACATTTCGCCTACATCTATGGCAGGCATCCTCAGAGGTTGTGAAGTCTGCTGGAAACTAGGAAAGTGGTGTTTATATATCTGTGGAATGTCCAGGGTAGGAGAAATAACTCTTTTCTGCTTGAGGCAGGTGTGAACATTGCAATTGGCCACCTTGTTTAGCACTGAATAGCATTGCAACTTCAAAGCCTGTCTGCTTCCTGCCTGGGGGAATCCTTTGTTGGGAGATTTTAGTTGGCCCTGCTTGTTTCTTGTCTGGAATTCCCCTGTTTTCTGAGTGTAGATCTTTATTTACTTGCTTAGTTTCCAACCTCACAACCTTTGAGGAAGCCTGACATAGATGTGGGCGAAATGTCAGGAGGGATTGCTTCTGGAATATGGCCATGCAGCCCGGAAACTCCCTCTTCTCTCTTTATCCCTATGATAGTGCTGTAGCTTGCACTTCTGATTTCTCAAAAAAGGAGGCTAGAATAGATGCCCCTTTGGGTTCCCTTCTATATGAGTTAGAGGCAATTAAGGGCTAATTAAGGCCAGAATAGAAAACTTGAAAGGAGAGAGATACCAGCTCCTAAGAGTCAGAGGATCTGAAAGAATTCCCAATAAGACTTACATTCCTTTTTCTCTGCCTGGTATGGACAAAAAAGATCTTCATTACATAGAAATATTCATGTCTAATTTTATGTTAATTTATGTGACGTGATGTAAAATAAACCACATGTAGTCTACATTTGATCAACCCACACACTGCCTTGCCAAAGAAAGAAAATAAACTGAGCTGCAGATGAATAAAAAAAGAACAAGTAGTTTACTCTCCGTAAATTCAGAACAACACATTTACAATGTGATCAGTTGCATCAACTCACATAATTATGAGACATATAAAATGGTATTTCTTTGTCCATTTGGATAAACTCCTTTAGCAGCCCATGAATCGAGAGCACACTCTGTCTCTCTCTGCTTCTCTCATCTTTTCTCTATGCCTGCATGGCTCAAGCCTGACCAAAAATGTAACATTAACCAAAGGTCCCAGTCTCAGCATGTTCCCTGGGCATTGCCCAACCAATCAGCATCTTAGTTGACACATACACTCAATGATTCCTTGCATGCGCCAACATTTTTTTTCTTATTTGGGATTTTTTCTAATTGATATGCATAATGGGGTTGTTTATAAATGATGCAATGCCAATCAACATAGGTTTTGTGTAAAATACATAAGGTTATAAATTCTTGTTCAAGTTAATATGCTTAGGGGGGAAAACTAAACTTTAGGAAACTATTTTCCAGGATCCCCCCCCCCCCAATCCTAAGAATTACACAATTTAAAGCTCATTGTTTTCTTATAATTTGGGGGCTTTTTAATTCAAAAATTTGCTGCAAAATCTTTGTACGTGTGTGTCTCTTTCCCTCCATCTCTCCCTGTGTGCATTTGTAGACAACACACCTGCTATACAGGTGAGAGAAGAGAAGAGAGATTCACCATCTTGAGGAACTACTCTTCTGCCGCTTCCGTGTGTCCAACTGAATGCACCCCTTGCGCAGCCTGGTGCATCGCCATCCTTGGGTGCTGAATATTGCCGCCTATGGCACTCTGTTTTCTGCAGCTGATGTGGCCCAGCAGCTATTGTCAAGGGCCGATCAGGACCAGCTTTGGTGCACTGCTTTGGACCTGAAGCAGACGGCCAAAGTTGCACTGGTAGGGTTCACGTTCCATGCCAACTTCAATTATGTCTGGTTCCGGACCTTGGAACATCTTCTTCCAGGAGCAAATGTTTCCAAGGTGATCGTAAAGGTGGCATGTGACCAGGCTATAGCTGCCCCAATCACCATTGGGGCATTTTACACAGGTGAGAAAAGGTACAGGTGCGAAGGGCGTCTTCCAAATATGGTGTCATGGTTTGGAGACCAGTTGTCTGTGTTTTCCAGGTCTCTCTCTCCTGGATGGTGAACGTGACATCTTTGGGAATTTACGGGAAAAATTCTGGCCATCTTACAAGGTAATGGGTTGTACATTAATTTTCATAGCCCTGCAAAATTGAGGGTCATAAAAACTATGGTATAAAATGTATTTTTGCTTTGTGTGTGAGACTTTTATTGTGGGACTTAATCTGGATGCTCCATTTTTTATTTTTGCTTCCTCTTCCTTCAGGCTGGGGTGTTGTGCTGGACTTTGTTCCAGGTAAGTGTTGCTGATTTCCTTTTCTGATCTTGGTGCCTGAAACATGGAGTTGCCAAGGTTTTGAATGCAGAAGGGAAAGGAATAGATTCAGTGCCTTTAAACAGCTATGGTGTCAAACATATTTCTGCACTTTAAATACAGTTTATTGCAGCTTCTGGGGAACCCGTTAGTTCTCCAAAAGCAGTGGGACTACAATTCCCATCCTGCCCAACCACTGGTCATGGTAGCTGGGGATGTTGGGAGTCAGAGTCCAATGGCATCTGGAAAGTCATGACTTCCTCAACTAGATTTAGAGCAGTGTTTCTCAATCTTCCTAATGTCGTGACCCCTGAATACAGCTCTTCATGTTGTGGCAACCCCCAACCATAACATTATTTTCGTTGCTACTTCAGAACTGTAATGTTGGTACTGTTTTGAATCGTGGTGTAAATATCTGATCTGCAGGATGTATTTTCATTCACTGGACAAAATTTGGCCCAAATTTGAATACTGGTGGGGTTTGGCGGGGGATTGATTTTGTCATGTGGGAGTTATAGTTGCTGGGATTTATAGTTCACCTACAATCAAAGAGCATTCTGAATTCCATCAACAATGGAGTTGAACCAATCTTAGCACACAGAACTCCCATAGCCAACAGAAAATACTGGAAGGGTCTGGTGCACATTGACCCTGAGTTTAGGAGTTGTAGTTCACCTACATCCAGACAGCCTAGACCAGGGTTCCTCAAACTTTTTAAACAGAGGGCCAGGTCACAGTCCCTCAAACCGCTGGAGGGCCGGATTATAGTTTGAAAAAAAAAACATAAATGAATTCCTATGCACACTGCACACATCTTATGTGTAGTGCAAAAACACTTTAAAACAATACAATAATTAAAATGAAAAATGATTTTAACAAATATAAGCTTATTAGTATTTCAGTGGGAAGTGTGGGCCTGCGTTTGGCTGATGAGACAGGATTGTTGTTGTGTGCTTTCAAGTCTTTTCAGACTTAGGTTGACCCTGAGTGAGGGCAAGATAAATGACCTTGGAGGGCCGTATCTGGTCCCTGGGCCGTAGTTTGAGGACCCCTGGCCTAGACCATCACAGCCTAGGTTTACCTGGAAAAACTAGTTTCAGAAGAAAGTACACAGCCTGATGACTTTGAGTTGACTATGCTGGGTGGAGGAGCTGTAATCCCAAAGCAATCATGTTTCCAAACACTAGGTATGTCCCAGCCAGTCTGAGATGAGAGGAGGCATCATACTGGAAAATCCGCTTCAACCGAAAAGTTGATGTTCCACCTTGTCTTTTTTCTCCTTTTCACCAGGCAGTGAATTTTGCTCTTGTGCCACCCATGTTCCGCACAACTTACGTGGGCGCCTGCTCCTTCGTGTGGACAGCTTTTCTGTGCTACCTGCGCCAAAGGGATGCCAGTAATGCCACCTCCCACCTCTTCCAAACCATCCCAGGCTTGGCTCAGCTGTTTCCACCTACGGCCCCAGAGAATTACATGAACCAGCACTCTGATAAATAACCAAGAGTCCTAATATTTAGTCAAGCTGATGCTTCAATTCTCACAAAATTGTAGTATTGATGTTTGAAAACATTGCCAATTGCTGTTATACTCAATATTAATTATTGCCCACCTGAACAGTAGTTTTGTTCAGGCTAAACGTATTAATAATTAATATTTTTTATAATTTCCACCAGCACCAGATGTCTGTTATACTTCACTGTGCCTCTTCCCTGCATTTTCCTTTCATATAACATCTTTTAGACTATAAGATTGAAGGTGGAATTTTCTTTCTTTCCTTCCTTTCTTCCTTCCTTCCTTCCATCCATCCATCCATCTGTCATTTTGATCTGTAAACCACTTGGAAATTTGACGGGCTGGGAATAAATAGATAAATATTTTTAGAATGCTTTATAAGTAATGAAACCTAATCATAATGTGTATGTCTCTGGAATATCATCATTTCATTACATATAGCCGTCTTCTGGGACATTTTGTGTGATCCGTAAACTTAAACAAATATCGGTGACAATGAATCTGGATGTCCCTGTGCCACATCCGATACAACTAGCATGGCACTCACTATGGAAACAGTGGAGGTTGGGGCAGAACGAAAATCACGGTTGTTCATGTCTTTACCAATCCACACACTGTCTTGCTGGAGAAAAGATACACCACAAAGTAAAGAATAAGGTGTTTACTCTTTGTTATGCAGAGCAACATATATACAGTCATGTGAACTGTTGCATTGACTCACACAATGTTGTTTTTAGAGATATTCCAATGGTCTTTAGGTGTCAACATGAAGGAAAAATAATACAAACGGTCGTGGTAAGCTCCTACACAGAAGACCTATTAATGTAACTGTTGCCAAAACTCCCAGGATCAGCTAGCTTCTCAGGCATAGCCCAACCAATCAGTTTCATGCTTTGCATTTTCCAGTTAACACATTCAGCAACTGATTTTTACATGTATTGTCAAAGGCTTTCATAGTTGGAAACTCCAGGTTGTTCTAGGTTTTCCAGGCAGTGTGGCCATGTTCTAGAAGCATTCTCTCCTCACGTTTTGCCTGCATCTGTGGCAGGCATCCACAGAGGTTGTGAGGTTGTGATTTTTACATCCTCCAACAGAGGTAACAAAATGCAGGAGGCCACAAATTTACCATTACTTTGAAATCTCAAACTCTACCAAAATTTGAGAAGAGCTTGAGGTCTCATCTACATTACCATATAACGCCATTTGAACTGCATTGTATGGTCAGCCTAGACTCATATAATGCAGATTGAACTGTGTTGAACTGAGAAAGGGCCATATGAGTCTATGGCCCCTTCTACGCTGCCATATAAAATCCAGATTATGTGATTTGAACCGGATTATGGTAGTGTAGATTTAGATAATCCTGTTCAAAACAGATGATGTGGATTATCTGATTTGATAATCTGGATTATATGGCAATGTAGACGGGACCTACGTTGCCATATAATCCAGTTCAATGCAGTTAATCTGCATTCTGAAACTGTGTTATATGGCATTGTAGATGGGTCCTGAAAGGCAAAATCCCATAAAAGAACTTTCCCCATATCTGTGCTGGGAATAATGCAAAACCCTCCATTATGATGTCATTTCCTACAGAACCTTGAGAGAATAGCTTTCTTGGTTTGCGCCATGCGTATATCAGGTCTTCCATTGGTACTGCCTCTGCTGTGTTTGCCCACAGCTGCCTTGGGCTGCTTGCAATGTGACGAACAGTTCAAGGAAAATGTGGAAAAACTCCGGACGATCGTCGTACCGCGCCAGATCCATGACACTCGCATCAAGGGACGAGCTGAAGTTCTCCTTGAAGACCTTGAAAAAAACTTTTTCTATAACTATGCCACTAACCAATTTCCTGGCCTTGCCGGTATGGTCACTTTGCATGGTCAGAATCAAAAACTTGGGTGGCTTTGGTGGATTTTTTTTTTTTTTACTGTTGGAAGAATGCACACTTTGTGTCCCAACTTTCCCCATCTCACTGCTGAGAAGATGTGGAAACGTTTCCTTAATGTAATGTGAATTGCAAAGTGAAATTCAGCCATGCAAAAATTATACGGGTAGTTATTGGCTAGTGCTTGAGACATCACGAACTCATGACATCTTCATCTTGCTTGAGCCGTGTAATTAACATAGTTAAAGAGTTGTTCTCAGCATATTTTTAATAAAACTCAATTAGATCCTCAACCATCCAATTTTAGACCTCATCGGTACAGGAGTTTTTAAAGCACTTTTTAAAAAAGTTGGAAAATAAATAAATAAATGACTACTGCTGGAGATGAATGTCCTGACTTTCTCCAATATTGTGATTTAAGGCAATTTTAGACAGTAGAAAAAGATCATAATTAAAAGGTTAACTGACAATGTCAGCAAGATTCCTATCTTCCCACAGGCATTAAACACTCCTTATTTCATAAACCTTTTCTCTCCTCAAAGGCCCCATCAGTATAGACCAGGCATGGGGAAATTTCAGCCCTCCAGGTGTTTTGGACTCCAACTCCCACCATTCCTAACAGTCTCAGGTGTACATTTCCTCATTTTGATGAATACTTCCCCAGACAAGCAGCAAGGACTTAGGAGTGCAAGAGTTTGGCACACTTTCCAACACTTTGTTGGTTTCTAAGAAGCATTCATATATCGATTTTGTTAGGTTTTCAATTCTCTAGCAGTCACTACCATGCCAGGACTCGCCCTCTACTCTGTGGCAGGATGAAAATCGCATGTAGTTCAGGTCTTTATCAATCCACACATTGTCTTGCTAGAGAAAAGATATGCCACACAGATGACCAGTAAAAAATAAGGTGTTTAGTCTTTGTTATGCAGAGAAACATATATACAGTCATGTGGACAGTTGCATTGACTCACACAATGTCCTTTGAAAGAGATTAAAATGTTCCTTGGGTGTCCATGTGAAGAATCTTCTTCCAGTAGCTCAGAAGCAGAAAATTATACACAAGCACAGAAAAGCTAAACATGTAACTGTTGCCAAAACTCCCAGGCTCAGCTAGCTCCTCAGGTGTGGCCCAACCAATCAGCTTCATGCATTGCATTTTTCAGTTAACACACTCACCAAATGATTTTTACATGCTCCTACATACTACATACTCCTACATAGTCTGCTTTACATCTACCTTTGGGCTAGACTCAAGTGGGATAGATTAACCATTCATTGTCCTATTTTCCCATGTAAGTGAGAAGGAATCATCTCATTTCAAATTGATCTGGGAACAGATTTCTGTCTTAATTTCCAAACTGGAAAATATTTTCTCCATGTGATGCATGTCACTTAATGCCATCAGTAATGCATTTCACTATATGCCATTAAATAGAGTTTGACCCAGAAACCTCTGGACTGACAACAATTGTGGCCTGTCAATCCTCTGAGAGAGGAAGAACAACTATTTGAAGAACATCCAGTGGGATTCATGGTTTGGTAGGAACTAGAACTTGGACTTCCACGTTCGTAATTCAATCTTCTAACTGCTACATTATATGATTTTTTAAAAATCAAATTAAACTGGGAAAATGTGCAATGTGTCATTGTTGCAGACTCTTGGCTTCTGTCTTATATACTCAGAGGTGCAGTGTGCTTTCTCTGTCTAATTTGGGTAATGGGCATCTTTCTGTTCTTCTTAGTTAAGAGAAAGGTTGATGACTTGATCCTGGAGGTGAGAGCCACCACTGCAAACCTCCTTCAAACAACTCTTACAGGTGAGAATATTAATTCCTCCTTCCCTAAAGTGCCCTTTTGTTGGTATTGTTCCCAGTCTAACCCAGGTATGGGCAAACTTTGGTCCCTTGGGTGTTTTGGACTTCAACTCCCACAAACAAGCCGTAGTCTGTTAGGAATTGTGGGAGTTGAATTCAAAAACACCTGGAGGGCTGAAGTTTGCCCTGGTCTAAGCAATATGCCATTTTGCCAGAAAGTCTCTTTTTGTTCCTGTATTAATCTTGCTGAGGACCTCTTCTCATTCTGTTCCTAGATGAGGATCTGTTGGAAAAACTGGTCGCTTTCCGGAAGGCTACCACCCTGAAGCTGAAACGGGCATTAAAAGAACACCAGGTGAAAGGTATTGGGTTCTCTCTAAGTCCCATAATTGGAGACCTTTATATTTCGTCAGGCCTTTGAAGACTGAGTGCTTAGGAAAGAAAACAGTCTTATATTATATTGCCTCATATATATATATATATATATATATATATGCCTCATATATATATATATATATATATATATATATATATATATTTTCAAGCAATATAAGTAGTATTATACATTTTATAAAGACAATAATTTCCCCCTATATGACTTACGTTGTTACACATATCCCTTTAAACTAGTTCCCCCCACCTGCCTCATTGAAAAGCAATAATCAAAACTATAATTGAAGTTTAAAATGGACTAGGGGCTGGGCTAAGCACAGCAGTTACCCAGGGGACACCTGGATGTGATAGCTAGGAGGTTTCTCTCATATCATAGAATCAAAGAGTTGGAAGAGACCTCATGGGCCATCCAGTCCAACCCCCTGCCAAGAAGCAGGAATATTGCATTCAAATCACCCCTGACAGATGGCCACCCAGCCTCTGTTTAAAAGCTTCCAAAGAAGGAGCCTCCACCACATTCCGGGGCAGAGAGTTCCACTGCTGAACGGCTCTCACAGTCAGGAAGTTCTTCCTCATGTTCAGATGGAATCTCCTTTCTTGTAGTTTGAAGCCATTGTTCCGCGTCCAGGGAAGCAGAAAACAAGCTTGCTTCCTCCTCCCTGTGGCTTCCTCTCACATATTTATACATGGCTATCATATCTCCTCTCAGCCTTCTCTTCTTCAGGCTAAAAAATGCCCAGCTTCTTAAGCCGCTCCTCATAGGGCTTGTTCTCCAGACCCTTGATCATTATTAGTCGCCCTCCTCTGGACACATTCCAGCTTGTCAATATCTCTCTTGAATATCCCCACAAGCTAGAGCTGACAGACGGAAGCTCACCCTGTCTTGCGGATTCGAACCTGCAACCTTCAGGTCAGCAACCCAAACTTCAGTTCAGCAGTTCAGCCAGCATAAGGGTATTACCCACTGTGCCACTGCGGCTCCTATTTATGTATATACACACACATGATTCTAGAATTGAAGGGGAGTGGAGAGATGTGAAAATAGACTTGTGGACAATTGACCTTTTCAACATGGTATACTAATGTCAGATTCTCCTTTTTCACAGCTTGTAATAAAAAAATATGTGGTAAGTTAACTTCATCTACTTTCGGGATATTTGAGGCAGAATATTTGGAAAATGAAAGCTATTGTTGTGAGTACATGGGATGTGGTTGGGAAGGAATTCAGAGCAACAAACTTTAGTGAGCTGAGAAGTCTCATTTGCATTGTCAATGGCTGAGAGTCTCCAGGAAAAACTAATCACTGCTGTCTCCAAAGAATCTAAGAAAAATAATAATTTTGGTCTACAACTCCCAAAATATCATTATAGCCAAGTTGCCGGGGGGGGGGGGGGGCATTCGGAAAGTTTCCAAGAATTACGGTTCTACAAACAATTATAGCAGTATTTCCTACTGTTAAGAATTGTAATGTAAATATCTGATATGCAGGATGTATTATCATTCACTGGGCGAAATTTGGCACAAATACCTGATATGCCTAAATTTGAATACTGGTGGCGTGGGGGGATTGATTTTGTCATTTGGGAGTTGTAGTTGCTGGGATTTATAGTTAACCTACAACCAAACAGCATTCTGAACTCCACCTACGATGAAATTGAACCAAACTTGGCACACAGACCAACAGAAAATACTGGAAGGGTTTGGTGGGCATTGACTTGAGTTTTGGAGTTGTAGTTCACCTACATCCAGAGAGCACTGTGGACTTAAACAATGATGGATCTGGACCAAACTTGGCACGAATACTCAAATATGCCCAAATGTGAACACTGGCAGATTTTGGGTGAAATAGACCTTGACATTTGGGAGTTGTAGTTGATGGGATTTTTAGTTCACCTACAATCAAAGAACATTCTGAACCCCACAACAATAGAATTGGGCCAAACTTCCCACACAAAACCCCCATTACCAACAGAAAATACTGTGTTTTCTGATGGTTTTTTGTGACCCCTCTGACATCCCCTCAAGACCCCCCTAGGGTTCCCGACTTCCAGGTTGAGAAGCACTGTTCTGTGGTGTCCTAGGACTTGTAGTTTGTACAGGCACTTAAACTGCAAATCCCAGGATTCGCTAAAATGGAATCACGTCATGAAACATCTCAGAAGTAAAAAATAACCCCTTTGTCTTAGGAATTGTGTAAATCTGTGGGGCAAGTTTTGGAAGTAGACTCAGGAGGGATAGCTCTGCCATTGTTTACATGACTGAGATTATTCTATGACTGGTGTGACCTATATTTTCTTCATCCTATTCCTGGCCTGCCCCGGTTTCAGGCACACTCAACTATCAAGTGATGAATTGCAAAGGATGCCATGCGACTGCTGCTTACTGCATGACTATAGGCCAGTGCTTTGGTAAGTTCTGCTGGAAATATGGGGTTGTGGGTGGACAGCAGGCGTGTGACAGAAGGCATGAGGCTGCATGCAGCAGAGGAGGAGATTAGTATGGTGGCGTGCCTCACTCAATTCTTTCTGGATTTATGTCCTCCAACATAAAAGCAATAAAAAATGAAATTGGCCAATCACAGCAATGTCAGAAGAGAGCTTGTATTGTTCAAGCCAAAGAGAAAGATTGGCATAGATGGGGTTTTTTAAAATAAATATCAAGAAGCTCCCGTGATTCCATAGCCAAGGCAGTTACAAGGGTGTCAAACTATTAATTCTACAGTGTTGATACGCCCCTAGAGACTAGCAAATGTGATATTTCAGGCCTTCGTGATGTTAGAAAAAGTGCAGCTCTTGATAGTATACCGGGATTGTGGCCCAGCTGGCTGAGTGTCAGCTGCATTAAGATCACTCTGACCAAAAGGTCATGAGTTCGAAGCCAGCCCGGGTTGGAGTGGGTTTCCAACCAATTGTGTAGCCTGTTGTCGACCTTTGCAACCTGAAAGACAGTTGCATCTGTCAAGTAGGAAAATTAGGTACCACCTTAAAGTGTGGGGAGGCTAAATTAACTAATTTATGAGGCCATAAAAAAGACTCCAGCAAAGCACTCCAGCAAAAAAGCATGCGGGGAATGCGGAAGTACTTCATCAGTGTTGCAGATGGACGATGAAAGCGACAGCTCCCCTGGCGGCCAGAAAAAGTTAAATAGCCTCTGTGTATGTCTGTATATGTTGTAAGTCAAAATTGGCATTGAATGTTTGCCATATATGTGTATACTGTAATCCGCCCTGAGTCTCCTGCGGGGTGAGAAGGGCGGAATATAAATGCTGTAAATAAATATAAGAATTGTGGCGGAATGAAAATTACGCATAGTTCATGTCTTTACCCATCCACACACTGTCTTGCTAGAGAAAAGATATGCCACGCAGACAATCAGTAAAGAATAAGGTGTTTACTCTTTGTTAAGCAGAGCAACATATATACAGTCATGTGAATTGTGTGCATTGACTCACACAATGTCCTTTGAGAAAGATTCAAAATGGTCCTTAGGTGTCCATGTGAAGGATCTCCTTCCAGCAGCTGAAGGCCTTCCACACAGCCCTATATCCCAGAATATCAAGGCAGAAAATCCCACAATATCTGCTTTGAACTGGGTTATCTGAGTCCACACTCAGATAATGTGGGATTTTCTGCCTTGATATTCTGGGATATAGGGCTCTATGGAAGGACCCTCAGATAATCCAGGGTCCTTCCACACAACCCTGCATCCCAGAATATCAAGGAGGAAAATCCCACAATATCTGCTTTGAACTAGGTTATCTGAGTCCATACTCAGATAATGTGGGATCTTCTGCTGTGATATTCTGGGATATAGGGCTGTGTGGAAGGGCCTTCAGAAGCAGAAAATTATACTAACTTGTCTTGCCAAGCTCCTGAGCAGAAAACCTAAACATGTAACTGTTGCCAAAACTCCCAGGCTCAGCTAGCATCCTGGGAGTAGCCCAACCAATCAGCTTCATGTTTTGCATTTTCCAGTTAACACACTCACCAACTGATTTTTACATGCTCCAACAAGAATGAAACGCATAACAAATGTGGGATATTTATAATCATGCAGACACATACTTTTCAAGGCTGGGTTCTTTCCCTGAGAGTCCTTCCCCTTCCTTAGGGCCAGTGAAGAGGAACCAGAGCCTAAGAGTTGGGAACCTGTTCTGGAGTGTCTCTGGCCCTGGATTATATGGCACTGTGGGCTCAGATAATCCAGTTCAAAGCAGATATTATGGATTATCTGCCTTGATATTCTGGGTTATATGGCTGTGTGGAAGGGCCCTCTGTGTTGCTTAGGGCAGAAAGAAGAAACTAGAAATTGCTGACTGTTTCCCACCAAATACTAAATCTTGAACTTCTCCTCTTGCAGTTGATTTCGAGGAACGCCTGTCCCTCCGTTATGGAAAGCCTCTGAAGGACCCCAATATTGCCCGAACTGGAGTTGCTATTGTCCTTTGTATGGGCGGAGTGCTCTTTCTGGTGATGCTATTCTCGTGAGTATCGCCAACAACTATCCTCTCCATCTCAAAGTTACATTCAGCCATTTATTTCCCTATTATGGGCCATGTGTTTGGGAACCAAAAAACAACCCACAAGTTTGTAGCCACATTAAAGGCTAAGATTTAGGGAGGATGGCAGTGGGTCACTAACTCTCTCTTTTCTCCAGGATTATCGTCTACTGGAGGAATTGGCTGTTTCAATATATTTAGTTTGATGTCCTGCTTGAACATGTTTAGTTGAAAGACCTACTGTATTCTCACCCATAAATGATGTCATCTGGAAAGGCTTCCAAACTAGTCAGACAATCTTTGAACTCAAAATCTTCTTCCGACCCACAAAATGTGGACCCTGCCCTTCTTCAAATTGCTTACTTTTCCAAAATAAATACAAAACCCAGTTTTGTGCCTTTTTATTTTTGTTTTGGTCTACAGGAGTGGTTCTCAACCTGTGGGTTCCCAGATGTTTTGGCCTTCAACTCTAAGAAATCCTAACAACTGGTCAACTGGCTGGGATTTCTGGGAGTTGTAGGACAAAACACCTGGAGACCCACAGGTTCAGTCATAAACTCATGGAGTACACCACGCTCAATCATAGGTTGAGAACCACTGGTCTACAGAGATCTGCCTTCAATGGCATTCTCCTCGCTCCCTCTGGTGTTTGGCACCCATCTTGTCTTCATGACTAATTCAAAGGCATTTCTCCCATTCAGGGAACCAAATGAGATTCCTGATTTGCTTTTCTCTGTTGAAGACAGAAACATTATTCCTTATAGAAATGTTCTTTTATTTGTTCTGGCTGTTTAAAGGTGAAGGATATGTGGAAAGGTGGTGCTGCGTTGGGGAAATCTTCTGGTTTCCAACACAGCTAACGGGCCAAAGCTTTCTGCAGACTCGTCCTCGTGTGTTTAATGCACACGATGTATCTGGAGGTACAGTTAGGAAGGGGAGAGGTTCCTTCACCTTCTAGAACACACATCAGGCCTCATCTAAACTTGGTCCTTCACTGAGAAAGGTTTTAAGATCATCCTTCTTCTAAGGACCTAGTTGTCTTTCTACCATCTCAGCATTCTTCAGCCATAGCTGATGAATCCAAATAGGGCTACAAGGGTGTAAGTAGTTGTCCAGAAGTTGTTAAACTACAACTCCCTACATTCCCTTCACATTTGGCTGTGTTAACTATCGTTCCTGGGACATGCAGTCCAATAAAATATGGTGGACCACATACTGTATATATTCATGTACAACTCAACCTCATGTATAACTCAAGAGAAGGTTTGGGGGAAAAATGATGGATCTTGGTCTGACCCCCACATGAGTCGAGGGTCATCCCATAGACAGTGGTTCCCAGCCTGTGGTCTGTAGACCACCAATGGTCCCCAAGAATTAACATATGGTCTGTGGCCTCACCATTACTACACCATTGTAATGAGAGTGACCAGTCTGGCAAAATCCTCTTACAGTGCTGAGGCAATGGGGATGTTGGGAAGGAAGAGGCTGACTACCCAGGAAAGGTGCAGCAACAAGCCTCCTGACAGCTGCTTCTCCTCCTCCCTCATCCTGAGCAGAGACCCATATGGCGCCTGGAAGCGGGGCGCCTTGGTGTCTTTGTTTTTAGGCCTGTTCCTGGGGTTATTTGGGGTGCTATAGAGAAAATGGCATTGGATAGACCACATCAGCTCTACATAATTAAATATGGCTTTCTGTGGGCAAGCAGAGGGCCAATTCTGTAGGCTAGCTTGAGTCGCCATAAGGCTGAGAAAGACAGGCTACAAATACCATAAATAAACAAACAAATAAATAAATAAATAAATAAATAAATAAATACAGGATGGCATATATTCTGTATCAGAAACTAGAGCTGATGTGGTCTATCCAATGCAGTTTTCCAAATCAGCACCACAAATAACCAAACTGAACCTAAAGTTGACCAAAAACTGATTCGTAACCTGTTTGGTACTAATGTTGGAGAATGGTCCCTGGTCAAAGTGGTCCCTGATCAAAGTGGTTCCTGGTCAAGTGGTCCATGGTCAAAGTAATCCCTGGTCAAAGTGGTCCCAGGCCAAAGTGATCACTGGTCAAGTGGTCACTGGTCAAAGTGGTCCCTGGTCAAAGGAGTCCCTGGTCAAAGTGGTCCTAGGTCAAAGTAGTCACTGGTCAAAGTGGTCCCTGGCCAAAGTGGTCCCACGCCAAAGTAGTCCCTGGCCAAGGTGGTCCCTGGCCAAAGTGGTCACTGGTCAAAGTGGTCCCAGGCCAAAGTGGTCCCTCTTAAAAGTGGTCCTGGTCAAAGTGGTCCCAGGCCAAAGTGGTCACTGGTCAAGTGGTCCCTGTTCAAAGTGGTCCCTGGTCAAAGTGGTCCCTGGCCAAAGTGGTCCCAGGCCAAAGTGGTCCCTGATCAAGTGGTCCCTGGTCAAGTGGTCCCGGGTCAAAGTGGTCCTTGGTCAAAGTGCTCCCTGGTCAAGTGGTCCCTGGCCAAAAAAAGGTTGGGAGCCACTGCTATAGATAGAGGAAAACACCAAAGTCATTTCAGGGAGCCAGCTGCCCTTGGCTGCCAGGGCAGCTATTTCCCCACCCAGACATTTAAAAAAGCAGTAATATTCTCTATAGTGGAGAATAGTGCTTCTGTTACATTCTTTTTGGCATTGATTAAACTCTTGCCTTCCGTCACTCCACCCAGAGAATGGAATGATTCCTTCTCTGATAAGAATTGAGATAGAGGACTCGCATTGACCTGTGGGCAAGTAAACCCAGATTTTGGGGGTTGATTTTTTACTAAAATTTTAAGACTTATACATGAGTACACAGGGTAATTCCCATCAACTGGGTTTTGGGGAAGAATTCCTATGAGGTACAAGAAGGTCAACAAAGCCTCAGTTTGGATTTTCGAATTTCATGGGAGACTAGGAGGACATGGCAGAGCAATTACTTACATAAGCAGAGTTGAAGTCAACACCACGGACTCACAAACGAGGAACACGTAAAGGACAATTTCATTGTATTCTGCAAGACGCTTGTCTTCGACTATGAGGCAAAAGGAACACCATATTATTCACTATTTGTGTTGCTTTGGGAGCTGAGACAAGTAACACAATACTGTGGTACCGAACTACAAATGTGCCCACATAAATACCTGAAGTTAACACATTGTTTCAGATCTTGGAAGCTAAGCATGGGCAAGCCTGAATGGGAGACAACCACAGAATACCATGTTCTGTGTGCTATTATTTCAGAAGAAGGCAATGGCAAACCACATCTGAGTATTCTTTGCCAAAGAAAACCCTATGAAATTCCTGAGGCTATCAATTAAAAGGTAATTTGAAGGTGCATATATATACACACACACACAAACTCAAGGTACCAAGTTGTGCCATATCTCAGATACTATGCTCTTCTACGGCATACCTCCACAGAGCTCTCCATCATAACATTGGGCAAGAATGCGTAGGCAGGTCCAGCAATCCAAAACGGGACCTTCAGTCACAGCTACCAAAAGGAAGACCATCACGGCTGAGAACCCAACGCTCTTGGGATGTCGTACATTTCAGACACAGATTGTTCCAGGGACTGAGAAGAGAAGATTTTGGAATGGGGAGAGGAAGGGGGGATCCAATACTTACTACAGTCCTCTGAACAAGCTGAATTGTGGGAAGAGAAGAGAGAAGATTGGATTAGGACCTTGAATTTGCAGGGGTTCTTTCTTAATTCTTATGCAATTCAAGGTTTTATGCTAGCTAATCAACCATTCATGGTCATAAAGCTAATTACACCCTCTAATGCAGTGTTTCTCAACCTGGGGGTCAGGACCCCTGGGCAGGTCACCAGGGGGTTACAGAGGGGTTGCCAAAGACCGTCAGAAAACATATATTTCTGATGGAACCCCTTTGGCAGAGATGGCTAAAGATCTCTCCGCCAGTCCTTCTCTTCCTTTTTGGAAACAGATGATGAATCCTCCCACCAAAAGCCCTCCTCTACTGTGATTGGCTGGCCTCTCCGCCAAGGAGAGGGCTGTTTCTGAGACTCCAAGCAGAGAGGGGAGAGCAGGTGTGTTCAGCGCATGGCAGTATGGTGCGCATGCACAGTCAAGGGAGAGCGTGCAAGGCTGGAGGGAGGCTTACACCAGTGAGTCCCTTCAAGGCATGGGGGTTCTCTGTGTGAAACTTGGCCCAATTCTATCATTGGTGGGGTTCAAAATGCTCTTTGATTGTAGGTGAACTATACATTCTAGCAACTACAACTCCTAAATGTCAAGGTCTATTTCCCCCACACTCCACTGGTGTTCAATTTGGGCATATTGAGTACTTGTGCCAAGTTTGGTCCAGATCTATCATTGTTTGAGTCCACAGTGTTCTCTGGATGTAGGTGAACTACAACTCCAAAACTCAAGTCAATGTCCACCAAACCCTTCCAGTCTTTTCTGTTGGTCTGTGTGCCAAGTTTGGTCCAATTCCATTGTTGGTGGAGTTCAGAATGCTCTTTGATTGTAGGTTAACTATAAATCCTAGCAACCCCCAAATGACAAAATCAACCCCCTCCTCCAAACCCACCAGTATTCAGATATGGGTGTGTCGGGTATTTGTGCCAAATTTGGTCCAGTGAATGAAAATACATCCTGCCTATCAGATACTAACATTACAATTCACAACAGTAGCAAAATAACAATATGAAGAAGCAATGAAAATAATTTTATGTTTGGCCGTCACCACAACCTGAGGAACTGTATTAAAGTATTGCAGCAATAGGAAGGTTGAGAAACATTGCTCTAATATTTCCCAGATGAAATGCGAACAACTTTACACTTAAGAGTGACTGGTGGTTGCAGAATGCCACCTTGTGAGTGAATTGTGATGTTGCACAAGGAAATGTGTAACCAAAACACATGTTCATCTGCATGTGCAATTCATACTGACATATACAGTGTGTATCTATATGTCGAAATGCATAGTGTACATACACAATGGAACTTATGTGCAACTTTGGGTCCACAAATTTGGATAGAATGCAGATATTACCAACTGGGCAACAATGTCCAGCTCTTTTCACCATGGAACTCAGATTTATGTGGATTCTAGCCATTGCTTATGTATTTCTTATTTTTTCTTTATATTTGCTATTTGTATGTCTTTCTCAGCTATCACATTCATTTTGGGAAAAGAAACCCATGGTGCATCACAGGTTGTAGCCTAAGCTCCCTTAGCAAATTATCAGGGATGTCCAACACACCTGGAAGACCAGAGTTTGGGAAACACAGCAAATGATTATAGAACAGGCATGGACAAGCTTGGGTCCTCCAAGTTGTTTTGGACTTCAACTCCCACCATTCCTAACAGCCTCAGGCCCTTTCCTTTTCCCCCTCAGCCGCTTAAGCGGCTGAGGGGGAAAAGGAAGGGGCCTGAGGCTGTTAGGAATGGTGGGAGTTGAAGTCCAAAACACCTGGAGGACCCAAGTTTGCCCATGCCTGTTATAGAAGTTGAGCCCTGCTTGGTCTGCCCATCCCTGCAAGATTGGTACCAAGGTCGGCGAACTTCTCCAGCATCCGTTGCATGCGTGGTCGCAGAGAGGTTCTCATCTCATACAAGGAGAGTTGCCACAAGAAAACTCCTAAGTGGAAAGAAGGGAAAAGGAGCTAAAGCAAAACAGAGGATGGGAGAACATACTTGCCAACATTTGAGAGATGAAAACTGGGACATGTGTATCCAAACAACATTGGGGTTTGTTCAAAAGGACACAGGCGATGAGTGTTGTTGCAATTTCTAAGAAAAGCAAGGTTGAAATAAGCTGAACTCTGAACCCTCCTATTTTCAGCCAGGGTTGATGAGGATAATTGGGTCTGTATGGCGCTCCACGCAGTCGTGCTGGCCACATGACCTTGGAGGTGTCTACGGACAATGCTGGCTCTTCGGCTTAGAAATGGAGATGAGCACCAATCCCCAGAGTCGGACTCGACTGGACTTAATGTCAGGGGAAAACCTTTACCTTTACCTTAGTTCAAGACAGCTAGAGAATGCTACATTTAGGAGAATACCTTTGTGGCAGTGTTTCTCAACCTAGGGATCAGGACCCCTGGAGGGGGTCACGAGGGGGTTTCAGAGGGGTCACCATAGACCATCAGAAAACATATATTTCTGATGGTCTCAGGAATCCTTTGGCAGAGAAGGGTGAAGATCTCTCCGCTTGTCCTTGTCTTCTTTTTTGAAAACAGATGACAAATCCTCCTACCAAGAGGAGGGCTGTTTCTGAGACTCCAAGCGAGGAGAGGAGAGCAGGCATGCTTGGCACATGGCAGCATGGTGCAAATGCATAGGTGAGGGAGAGCATGCGAGACTGGAGGGAGGCGCATGCCAACCTTCTGAGTGAGAAGTTTGGTCCAATTCTATAATTGGTGGGGTTCAGAATGCTCTTTGATTGTAGGTGAACTATAAATCCCAGCAACTACAACTCCCAAATGTCAAGGTCTATTTTCCACAGTGTTCACATTTGGGCATATTGAGTATTCGTGCCAAGTTTGGTCCAGATCCATCATTGTTTGAGTCCACAGTGCTCTCTGGATGTAGGTGAACTACAACTCTAAAACTGAAGGTCAATGCCCACCAAACCCTTCCAGTATTTTCTGTTGGTCATGGGAGTTCTGTGTGCTAAGTTTGGTTCAATTCCATCACTGGTGGAGTTCGAAATGCTCTTTGATTGTAGGTTAACTATAAATCCCAGCAACTACAACTCCCAAATTACAAAACCCATCCACTTCCAACCCCACCAGTATTCAAATTTGGGTGTATCAGGTATTTGTGCCAAATTTGATCCAGTGAATGCAAACACATCTTGCATATCAGATATTTACATTATGATTAATAACAGTAGCAAAATGACAGTTATGAAGTGGCAACTAAAATAATTTTATGGTTGGGGGTGACCACAACATGAGGAACTGTATTAAGGGATTGTGGCCTTGGGAATGTTAAGGAAGACTGCTTTATGGTATCCACAAGAAAGCTTAGTGTATGAGGCTAAGAGTTTCCCACAATCCAGTCTCAATGGGAAAATCCCACATGCACCAGCTTCCCACCATACCTCTCCATGTGCCAGCCTTTATCTCTCGCAAACGGCTGATAATTTCTGCTTTAATAGCTTTCACTCCACGTACATCTGAAAGGAGACATCCACAGATTTAACTCTATCTGTCTGACACTAAAGGTCAGAGCTTGGAAAATTATTGTGGTACTGCAGCTCCCAGGATCCTCAAGTGAGCATGGACACCAGCCACTTTGTTTATGGCATTCTGGGAGATACAGTCCCCAAAGGTAACTTTCCCAGACTCTGATTATGTTACAGTTTGCTTTCCCAGCCCCAGTGATGCATCTCTGTTCAGGTCGCACCCAGCACTCTTTCATATTTCTGTCGGAGGTAAGTGCCGTGAATATTTGAGAAGGCCTCAACATGCCGCTCAATAAGCGATTCACGGTCGGGTACGTCATTGGGCAATGTTTCCTTCATGATGGTGGCTGCCGACTCCAAGAAGCGGCGGTCACATTGCAGGCAACCAGAGGCTGCTTTGAAGGAGAGCAGGAACGGGAGGAAGACTGACAGGAACCAAGGCACCATGGCAGCAGCTCCAAAATCAGGACCTAATACCACAAAAGTGAAATAACCTTGCTTAAAGCAAGGAGTTCGGAAAGGAAAGGTTGCCAAGGAGAGCGAGTGTATAGGCAAATGTTGGTATGAGTCTCTATGATGCTAGATCTAGAACACAAAGTGAGGTCAGCTGTGTAGAAGCTAGAACATTGAAGCGATGTCAGGTTCTTATTGATCTTCCACGCTTCTATTCTTCCTCAAACAGTGTCGGGCTCTAGCCTTTTAGTTCTGGTTTTCATGGCTAAAGGACCTCTGATAGGGTTGCTGGCCTGGACTCTGCCCATGCAGCTGGCTAGCACATGCCTCCGTTGCTGGCCGGATGCTGTAGTGAGCTTTGGCTACGATGCCAATCTGCTGCTCGGTCAGGATTCAGATGCCGCTCGGAGCCTGTTCAACATCTTCCTGGGCGACACTGCTTCCAATGGCAAAGGATATTTGGGTATAAATGAGGACGAGACAATGGTTGCGTCTACTGGGCCACAATGGACCCTCGTGAGAGCTTGGAGTGCTAGGCACACTCCCTGCCACAATCCAGTACAAAATACTACAATCCCCTTAATGCCATTTCTTCAATGTTTGCCCCCTGGTGCCCTCTATGGCACTTTAAAACATCAAAACATCCGGGCATCCCCTGGGCAACATTCTTGCAGACGGCCAATTCTCTCACACCAGAAGCGACTTGCAGTTTCTCAAGTCGCTCCTGACATGATAAAAAAACAAACAAACCAAGACACCAGCAGCTCCTGGTGGCACAATGGGTTAAACTCTTGTGCCAGCAGGACTGTGATGGCATGAGTGGCGCCACCTATATGTAGAACTGTAAGTTGCAGGATTTGAACTGTTGTATCATGCCTGGTTTTGCCTTTTTACCCTGTAAATGTGCAGTTGGATTGATTGTGATTATAGCTGTCAATCATTGTTTGCACCAGTTGAATTGCTCCTCCTGCTCAATTGTTTGACCCCACCTCTTCCTAGAGAGCAGGACAGTGTTTCCTTTTCCATTCCACCATCAAACTTTCTATCAGATGGACGTGAGAGAGAGACTTGGCTCTGAAGCCCTTGATTAAGTTACCTCTCAGCACCAATTCTGAGGTTCTTACCCTTGAGACTTATGCTTCATGTTCAGATCAACCTGGACGACGTTGAGAAGTCTCAAGTGCCTTCAAACCAGTTCGTTGGCACCAGAGGAAGGCTTTGTGCCTTCAAAATATAGGCCATTGGAATTGGGGTTGTGATTATTCTGATATCCACAGCCATTGAGAAAGAGGGACCTGGAAAAGCTTCTCAGCTGCAAAACTCCTTGGACCCAAGACAACCAGAGACTGTAATGTATATTTTCCTTTACCCCTTTGAAACTTCCAGCTTATTGCCTTAAAGGGATAACTCTTTGTGAACAATTAAACTATTTTGAGTTATCTACAGTGTTTTGGTCCTTGGGAGTTCCAGTTTCCTAAAGGAGGGCAAGAAGCAATCCCCTGGGGAGAGATGTCACATCCATGCCTCTTTCACTAAGAGTTATAGCCCCCAGGTGCGACGGCACAAGGGACTGCTGACCGAAAGATTGGTGGTTTGAATCTGGGAAGTGGGTTGAGCTCCCGTCTGTCAGCTCCACCTTCTCATGTAGGGACATGAGAGAAGCCTCTCTCAGGACAGTAAAACATCCTGGCGTCCCCTGGGCAATGTCCCTGCAGATGGCCAATTCTCTCACACCAGAAGTGACTTGCAGTTTAATGTATTGTCGAAGACTTTCATGGTCAGAATCACTGGATTGTTGTAGGTTTTTCAGGCTGTACGGCTATGTTGTAGAAGCATTCTCTCCAGACATTTTGCCTGCATCTATGGCAGGCATTCTCAGAGGTTGTGAGGTCTGTTGGAAACTACAAAAATGATATATAAACACAATTTTCCTAGTTTCCAACAGACCTCACAACCTCTGAGGATGCCTGCCATAGATGCAGGCGAAATGTCAGGAGAGAATGCTTCGGGAAGATGGCCATACAGCTCGAAAAGCGTAGAACAACCCAGACTTGCAGTTTCTCAAGCTGCTCCTGACATGGAAAAAAAAAATCCAAGATACCAGAAATATGGCAAAAATGCCCTTCTTGAAGGCATTTTGGGGCCAAAAAATGACTGTGGGTACTGGGATTGCATTGAGTTACAGGCTGCATTTTGTCCAACCCAATACAGAAATAGTGGAAAAGAAAGGCCACGTGACACCCCTTCAGATGCTGGGCCTTGACTTCAGAGATAGATAGGAAGCTAAGGTCATGCATCTTTCCCCCCTTACTATAAAATGTAACTACAATACAATTATAATTATTTTGGGAGGAACCAAACCTGTAAATAAATACCTTCAACAATAACTTTCCAAATTCTGAAACACCGTCCTTCCCTGATCTGGTATCTGCTGGTCGCATTGGACTACAATTGATATCATCTCCAGGAAGTCTAAAACAGACATAACATGTCAAATTATTCCTGGTGTTTTCTTCAAAGTGGGAGATCATGTCCCAAAAAGAGGATTTGGTCAGGAACTCTGTGCATCAACTTTTTTGTTATCTGCCCTTATTTCTGCAGAACGGGATCACATGGAGCGTGAAGCTGGGCAACTTTTTCGCCGGATTGAAAATATCATTCAAACAAGAGGAAAAGGTAGGAAATGGTGCTATTTCAGACAGAGAAAACATTCTTAGATGGGAGCTGCACTTGCTATCAAAATACCTTTTTGCACCATAATAATTTCTGATACACTTGTCAAATGATAATCTGGATTAATTTGAGCAAGTCACATTTTCTCAATCTCAGAAGAAAGCAAAAACAAACCCCTTCTGAATAAATCTTGTGTGATAGGTTTTCCTTAGGACTGTCATAAGTTGGAAATGACTTGAAGGAGTCGCGGTGGTGCAATGAGTTCGACCCTTGTGCTGGCTGAACTGCTGACCTGAAGGTTGGCAGTTCGCATCCGCAAGACAGGGTGAACTCCTGTCTGTCAGCCACAGCTTCCCATGCGGGAAATGAGAGAAGCCTCCCACAGGATGGTAACACATTTGGGTGTCCCCTGGGCAACGTCTCTTCAGATGGCTGATTCTCTCACACCAGAAGCAACTTGCAGTTTCTCAAGTTGCTCCTGACACAATTTAAAAAAGAACTTGAGGCCCACAATAACTCCTATTCTATAGTAACAATGGCTGAAAATCACTATTACAATTAGAGGTGTGTAACCTAGACATAGGCCTCCATACCTGGTTCACTTTTGCCATAACTATAAAAGTCCCTGGATCCTAAATCTCATAGAGACATTATTCTTTCTCCATCACTCAGAGCTTGGAAATTACTCTGGGGGACCAGAGCTCTCATAATCTCACTATCTGAAGGATCTTTGAAGTTTTAGTCCAATAAAGTAATTTGCTGATTTTGGTGCATTTTTTAAAATCCCACAGAACATGTGATTGGCGCAGCAGAGGAGGAAAAAAAGAACTTTGAAAAGAAATTGGAAGAGGCATCCAATGCCTTCATGAAGGAACGTAAGTGCCATTCCATTCTAAATTTCCCAGTTTGTGTTGATGAATGATCCAGATACATAGGAAGATACTTTATGCTGAGTATCTACATCAGAGTTTCTCAACCTGGGGTTGGGACTCCGGGGGAGGGGGGGGTCGTGAGGAGGTGTCAAAGGGGTCACCAAAGACCATTAGAAAACACAGTATTTTCTGTTAGTCATGGGGGTTCTGTGTGGGAAGTTTGGCCCAATTSTATTGTTGGTGTGGTTCAGAATGCTCTTTGATTGTAAGTGAACTATAAATCCCAGCAACTACAACTCCCAAATGTCAAGGTCTATTTTTCTCAAACTCCACCAGTCTTTATGTTTGGACATATTGAGTATCCGTGTCAAGTTYGGTCCAGATCCATCATTGTTTGTGCTCTATGGATGTAGGTGAACTACAACTCCAAAACTGAAGGTCAATGCCCACCAAACCCTTCCATTATTTTCTGTTTGTCATGGGAGTTCTGTGTGCAAAGTTTGGTTCGATTCCATTGTTGATGGAGTTCAGAAAGCTCTTTGATTGTAGGTGAACTATAAATCCCAGCAACTACAACTCCCAAATTACAAAATCAACCCCCCCCCCCCAACCCCACCAATATTCAAATTTGGGCATATCAGGTATTTGTGCCAAATTTGGTCCAGTGAATTAAAATGCATCCTGGATATCAGACAATTAGATTACGCTTCATAACAGTAGCAAAATTACAGTTATGATGCAGCAACAAAAATAATTTTATGGTTGGGGGTCACCACAACATGAGGAACTGTACTAAGGGGTCGCAGCATTAGGAAGGTTGGGAAACACTGATCTACATCACTGCTGTCTGCGTTGGCTAAGGGACCTTACCAAGCAAACTCAGACACCAAATATTGGGTGTCATGGAAAGGCAGTACCTTAAGTTATTGATTTAATAAGGAAACAAGGAGAAAGGCTTTTGGAAGTTTGTTTCATGTCCCAAAATAATTTGATTAGCTTTGAGTGCTTGCACTTTGACATTGTTGTTTTATCTCAGACAGCAAAATTTGTAGATTTCTCAAGATTTCTTTGAAGAGTCTTTGCTAGTCCTGTCTAAAAATGCCAGCAATTGAATTTGGGACCATCTATATTTGGATGGTTATATTCCGCAGCTAACACTGGGTTCAGAGGTTAATACTTAATACTCTCTTTTAAGTCATTTTATTTGTTGTCGTTTGTCATGAAGAGTGACGAAAAACTGGACACACTAAAATCACGGGTGTTGTAGGCATCAATACTATTTGGCAGAGAAGGCTAAAGACTTGTAAAACTACAACCCATGACTCCATAGCATCAAGCCATAACAGTTCAAGTAGAATCATAGAATCATAGAGTTGGAAGAGACCTCGTGGGCCATCTAGTCCAACCCCCTGCCAAGAAGTAGGAAAATCGCATTCAAAGCACCCCTGA